TGTCATTTTGAAGTGTTAACTCGTTAATAGAACATTTAAGAGCATATGTGCATACAAATTTTTTTCTTACTTTTGTGTATAGAACACGCGGGCAATGTTTGGCCGGAAAAACCTAGGACACCGTGTATATTATATTATATACCTACCGATCGGCATTATGGTCCCTGTTATGTAGTGATTGTTACGGAACGTTCGATTTATTGACTGTGCTGGTCGTTGCAACCACATCTGTGCCTTGCTGGACTCTGTATGCTAGAGAAAAATGAAGGGATAATCGCGCGACGGAATAATAAAACGAATCACTGTCATCGTAGACTCGACCCGTGCCAATAGATTTTCCTTCGAACGAATCGTGTCAAGCTTGCTCATCGATCATCCTACATTCCCTTTTGTTATCCGAGTTCCTTTTTAAATTACGTTTAGGGATAATATTTGCCCGGAAAGAGGACTCTGACGTTCCTGAACGAAACGAAATTACATAGATACCGGAGCTCTCAAACAGGACCGTGTACGATTCCGCGAGTGTTTCTGGTGCGTCCTGGACTGAATTTGCTTCTACCACACAGACTGTTTTCAGGTCGAATCCTGCAAGCACCGAGAACTTTCTTTGAAGATTTCCAACGAAACCATCTCCCTATGCAAACGTTCTATTAACGATCTACGACAGACTACAAAAGTTTAGATACGTACAAAACGTACTCATTGTACCCTCACACTCTCCGTGCCGAATTTAAAAAAGGAATAACAGTATATATTTTCTCTCCGTGTTTTCGAAATGTTTTTCTACCTCGATTGTAGGTTCTGTTTATTTAACAGACGTTCGCTCTTCAATTTTTATTTACCTACAGTTTCACAAACACAGCTGGGAGATTTCCAAATTCAGATCCGGTCGCAGTATCGCGAGCACGTGTCCGATCGCGTTTTTATATCAAATTGGTGCGTAAGAGATTCGTTTTCGAGCATCACATATTTCCCTTAAAAACTACCTGGATAGTTACCAAATTCGTTTCCACGAAGCCTGTTTTTAATAAATCAGGCATAAGCTCGTTTCCTTTCTGACGACGATCATCGACGGGATTTAATCAACGACTCCGGTCCGACATCGAGGAAACGGAATTTCGTATGCAGCAACCTAATATTTAAACGCGAGTACTCGTGGTCTTAAGTGAAAGGGATTTAACGAGTTTCGACTCCGAAGCGATAACATCTCTCGGACCGCGAACCGCTTCTTAACATCGCAAACACGCGGTCAAGTCTAAGAGATGACGACGATAAAAATCGACTTGCGAACAAAAAGAGAGGAGGTGATCTTTTCGGAACTTTATCCAATCATTCGGCCTTCGGCTCCTCTGATTCTCGCGTCATGCACGGTATGACGGGACCGCGATTAATCCCAGTGGCCACAACAGCTGTCATCGATACCTCGATTCTACGTGCATCTACGGCTTCAAAGGACAAAGAATCGTTCTCACTGAATACTTTCTCTGTGCCCTCTCATTCAAAAATTGCATGCTACATACAAACACTATTAATCAGCAGTTTGGAAGCAGTTGGACATTTTGATCAGAGTAGGACAGACACGAGAGAATTGTTCTCGTGAACAAAAGATACGACTGCTTTTGAACTTGTACGATTTGACGTTCATTCGTCTCTCTCCATAATGGATATGGATCATGGAGATCGTCCATCTTTTCTCCCCTACTTGTTTCTCCGTTATCTATCCCTGCTTCGTCGTCGTCTATTGACCGTCGGATCAAATAAAAAATTTCAATCGAATTTCATCATCGATCAGCTCATCCGTAGGTCGACATTTGCGTATTAGTACGTTTGACAAGTACTATGTAACCAAGTTGATATTTGATGAAAGAGGTAATGGTCAAAGCTTGACGCTTATCACGTTACCCCACGCACGATACTTGTGTACCACTGATATGAAAGTGATCTGACAATGAGAACACAAAACACATTGTAACAATAACCAGCAGAAGAGAATTGGAACGGTTATCTATAAGAATTGTTAAAAGAGCAATTGTGGCAACGCTTAGGCACTTTTTAATCCATGTTGCAATTCGAATTTATGGCAATGGGACCGTTCGAAGGAAAATCATGCAAATGGTTTTATCAGCTCGACGTTTCGCTCGAATCTGTTTAGTAAGAACCACGTTTTTCCATGCAGCAACGTTTACGTGTTTTCCTCAACGTTTAAAAGGACGACAAGGCACGTTCGGGACTGCAGATCTCTCACCCGTCTGATTCATTATTATTGTTTAATCTACACTACTCCATCTTTCCTTTTTTCATTCCCGTACTCACAATCATTTGAAGTGTGTAAACTAGAAACGACTTCCAGTCTGTGATGGCGAAACTACGATGCGAAGCTCGCACGCTCCGAGTGTCGGGCAGGGTTTGAACAAACTGCTGTGCACACTGTTACGCTTGCAACAAGTTTTACGCATCGCGTAGTTCCACGAGGAATCGAATTTTCCTTGTCGGATCGACTGACGGATTATTAGTTGCGTCGACTTGTGGTGTTTAGCAAACGCTTGGAACAATTACCATTTGTTGCATAGAAACATTGAATCGACGCTACTTGCAAATAATTTGTTATCATGTACTAAACCGAGTGAAATAAATTTTTACGAGATCGCGAAAAGGATGTTTAACGCGAAACGATAATTACGCTTGTCTGATGTCAGAGAAGTTAAAACGATTTGACGTTTATGTAAACGCGACGTGATAAAACATCGATTAAACAATTGGACGTAAGTATATGTGTTAAAAATTGTGTGGAGAATCTGAAACGAACGGAGAACGGTAATGCTCGTACGAGGGCTAAAAATACGAGCCGTACACGGCGAGAGTCCGATTATTAGCTGACTCGTACTACTTTGCTTATAATGTATTCATGAAAGCGAAAGTGAATGAACTGAATGAGCTCACAAGATATACCACTTTCGTTACGTTCGAATCGATCAAAAGACGTTGAATAATCAAGTATCATCTACGAACAATGAACTATACATGGCCCCTGTTTACATTTCAACACGCGCGAATCATGAATCGCGACGCCTGCTCGTTCCGCAAAGGAGGGAATCGATTCGCACCTGTGAATAGGAACTTGGCTAAATTATAGGACAATAAACGATAAACGACGTACTCTGTGTTTCAGTACTTTCTTTTTTACAAACTCGATAATTGCCATTCAATTTTTCATTGCCGAAAGAGCTCCCTGAGCCAAGTGTTTGATTTTTGTTCGCTCTCATGCTACACAAATGTTTAAGCAGGAACTTGAACTTTCCCAACCGTTCTTCGATGGCCGTCGAACGCTCTCTGATTTTTTCTCAAGATGTTTGCCAATCATTTTAGGTGGAGATTATTTTTGATTCCCAACGTACACGCAGCGGGTGACGTTTTTTCTTTTTTAATCCACCCACACGCATATTCGCACACAAACCTATTCCGTCCGTACATACCGAATCGAGAGCGATCGCACTAGAAAAAGAAGCATACGTACGGAGGCTGCTCCGTACATACATCCTCCTTTGCGACATGTTGCTCAATTTTCAGAAACTCGCGGATTAAATGGTAAGTGTTTGCGACCAGGAACGAATTAAAACAAAATCTGATAACGAAACGAACGAGCAAAGCCGACGATCGGGAAAAGAATCAAGTGAGAAGAGACGAAACGAAACTGATTTTAATTTACACGCCGTCAGGAGTCAATGGGAGATCGTATCACAGAATAAAAAAGAACTAACGATATATTTTGGAATCCTCCTAAAACAAAATACAAAAAAAAAAGACACAGGACGCCGTCGACGTGGACAGGCCCAGCCGGGAAAGATGTGAAACTGTGAGCCAAGATGCATGCATTGTCCACTTGCAACGTACAATACGATACATATACTCTATCGATAGTTTTCAGACACACGTGCTAAATACCGTAGCGTTAGTACATGGACCGTAGTTTCTCTGTCTCTAGCTGGAACTGCTGTTATAATAGTTGCGTAGTAGTTGAGCTTAAATGTTGCTTCGTCTGCATGCCTCTTACATTTGCTTCGAACGCGGTGTACACAACTATACCTGAACATCATTGTTTGTTCGTCCAACTACTCGCACCCTCTGTCCCGCAGTGTCTGCCCACACCCCCGTCTTCCAAGCCCCCGACCGCGCGCCCACCTTTGTACCACCGCGTCTCGTTCTTCCCGGCAACGAGACTTTTCATTCCCCCGGCAAGATATCACCACACGGCCTTGATTCTTTAACGCTCCGTGGTCAAAAAAGGGAAGAAGAAAAAAATTTACCACGACCTTTACCCGTCGGAGCACAAGTGCTCTTTGCTCTCGAAACGACCTCTAAAACCGACCAGGGTTAATCTTTTTTCTTGTTCCGCCTTTTTCTCTAGGAGATCCTTCGCGGACCCTTATTATCCCGGCGGGGGAGAACGAACCGACTTTTAAAGTTGGATATTGCCAACGAGACTAGCACCGATGGACCGAGGCGTTACACACGCGATCATCCAGAAAAATATTTCAATGTTTTTACATATTGTTATTTTATCCCCGGAGCGTTCAAGAATCACTCGACGATTTAGTATAAGATAAATACAGGTAGAATACTCGTAGAGATCAATCGAAAATACGTGAGTATTTTCGATTCGTTTCGTTCTATAGCAGAATTTTGTTGCCATTCTTTTTGGTTTTGTCACGCTGTGAAGTAGAGTGGATCAGATTTTTCATGATCGATTCTACGCAGGAATTCTCGGTATGCTGAGGTCATCGTTAATTAAGATACAATCGCGATTAGACCAGTCCTCTGTCAAAGGCTCATTTTGGAAGGCCAGCCGGTGTCTTTAAGATGCTGATGTTACGCAATTACTGACCTCGTTCACGTTTATTGATGTACAGCTTACTTTTGTCTCGTTTCTCCTCTGGAAACTTGGAGTGTACCCTATTCATCTTTGACACGCCAATCGTAGGCGTATATTAGAACACGGCCGAACAAGAGGCGTGCAAGAAATATCTATTTCTGTATGTCACAAATTCTGACACCATCATTTCATTATTCGATGCAAGTAGTTTTATTCTCTCGAAAAGGGAAACGATTTATTCGTAGAATAACGTCAACCAGGTCAGTCATGCGAGCGAATCAATTACTGTGACAGAATAGTATCTGAAATTTGTTTTCGTTCAAAAAGCTTTTGCATATTATTTAAGAATCCGTTGACCAAAAAATAAACTACGGTACCCCGAAGTAGACAATTGATTACGCATACTGGTTCCTCCCCGAATAATTTCTGTAGATCGATTTAACGATTAGAGAGGAACGTACTGACGCAGAAATCTCAGATTCGACGAGAATTCTCTTTCGGCTGAAACGAACAATCAATGTGTAGTTCAAGTAATTTACTACAAAGAGCCTTTCTGCACGTCCGATCTGAACAATTTCTGCAGTCGCCCTTTGATTTAATTACTTTAGCGCCAACAAACTCCCGTACACCCAATTATGCCGTCATACAGATTCTGACCAGCCGTTCGAGCATAATAATTTATTTGCTGCCCACCGACCGCTCGCGGCCCACGATTTATCTCGCTAAATCGTACTTTCTTTTCCTTGACAGGAATATTCCGTACAGTTGACGTTCCGGGAACAATGGATTGACAAACGGTTACGATTCGATGATTTTAAAGGTAAAAAACACCCTCGTTTCCCTTTGAATTTCGAATTATACGATCGCGCGTTTGAAAATTACAGGTAAACTAAAGTATTTAACTCTGACGGACGCGGGTCGCGTCTGGATGCCGGATCTATTCTTTTCGAACGAGAAGGATGGACACTTCCACAACATAATTATGCCAAACGTGTACATTCGTATTTTTCCCGACGGAGCCGTTCTATACAGTATACGGTAATTCGACCGACGCGGTAATCCTATTACCAGACTGCTGAATTTATGCATTTATACGAACATCTACAGGAAACAGCGTTTATAGTACCCAACGATCAAAATAAAATACACTTGATTATATTTAAACGAAGCGACATTGTAAACTGTTTTAATTTGCATAAAAGTCTGCAGTCTATCGATTGGAAATTACATTCGGATTCCTTCTAATCGAACGTCAATTCTTCCAGAATCTCTCTAACTCTATCATGTCCGATGAATTTAAAATTGTACCCCTTGGATCGACAAGTTTGCTCGTTACGTATGGCAAGTTGTAAGTATCGACGCTTGTTCTCTCGATTAAAGATGTATTGACTATACAGTCAATCCCAAAAGTTTATGGACCTTAGAAAAACGCATTTCCTATAATTAAAAAGAAATCAGACGACGGAAGAATAATGCTAATAATAAATAGCTACGTGCTAAAAAGTATAGAAA